CCAAGTAGCCAGAATTACAGGCATGCGCTACCACGCCCGGCTGATTTTTTGATTTATTGTAGAGATGAGGTCTAGCTGCCCAGGCAGGTCTCGAACCCGCAGTCTCAGGCAATCCACTCACCTCAGCCTCCCAAAGGCGCGGGATTACAGGCTGAGCCACCGAGCCCGGCTAACTTGTTTTCTATTAGTTAATCTTCTCTCTCCTATCGTGGAGCTTGGTGATTTTTGTTTGTTTGTTGTATGTTTTGTATTTGTATTTGTATTAAGCAGTCTACTTTCAACTGTTCCTACCTTATAAGTGAGTTCCAAATTTACATCCCCAATTATAATGAGAAATCCAGTGCTATCCATCCAAAGGTTAATATCACATTGTGGAGTCAAAATCTAAATCTTGACATGGACCCAATCAAAAACAAACAGATAAACAAAGAAAAACTTTGTTTTGCTTGCTCTTTCCATTTCCTTCACAATTGCTTAACACCCCTCCCTCAAAATTAATGTTTTACATTATTTATTTCTTTTGTGCATGTATGCAACCTATGTACATTCCATCACCAAATCTTATTGACTTCACCCCTAAAAACATCCAAATTAATGTTCTCTTAAATTACCAATGCCCCCAACTCATTTCCTTGCATCTACTCTGAGTTTGACAAATCCGTTCACCAAAGAGAAGTAAAAGTTGCCCTTTATAGCTTAAATCAAATTTTACCTCTTCAATTTCAGTTGAAAACAAGGTTCTTTGCGATCTGGCTTCTGTCTTATTTTCTAATTCCATTTCCTTTACTAATTGACACTAAGCTGCAGCCATTGATCATCTTTCAGTTCATCCCATAGAGCGGCTTCATTTCACAATAGATCTTTCTTCTGTAATTACTTCCCCCTGGATCTTTCCTAGCTAGTTCCCTATTGTCATTCAGATTTCAGATTAAATATCACCGCCATATGTAGGGCTTTTTGCAAATTTTCAATACAAAGTAGTTGTTTGGTCACTATCAAATAGCTTATTGTCTTCAAGATACTTATTTCTAATTCATATTTTTTCATGAAGTTTTTGCATATTTTTTGTCTCTCCAAACTAGAACATAAATTCCATGGAAGCTAGAGCCTTTCATTTTCTCTTTTCTTCTGTATCACTAGAACTGAGGTCACTGTTAGATCAGGCACACAGCTGTAGGCATCAACAACTATTTGATGAAAGAATTTTATTTTATTTTGATTCCATAGATCTATATTGCTACTATTTGGAGTTCAATTGGAATTTTACTCCTGTCTCCCTGAGTATTGGCAATCCTACTGATTTCAATTTCATCTGTAGAGCTAATAAGGAATTCACAATACCTTTGTCTTGGACATTAAAGAACTATTGACCTGAGGAGAAGGTGGATCCCTTGGGAATACCATTCAATGTAGAATATATAATCTCAGAATATTTAAAAAATCCTAATCTTCAAAAAGAATAATTCTCACCAATGGCAGGTAATTCAGACCCACATATTTGATAACAAAGAGATTATGTTTTACAATGTTGTATTTTTGGAGTTTCTTTAGAGAGTTTTGTTTTGTTCTTATAACTACTTCAGCCTGAGATAGTAAAGAATGAGAAATGACTGATCTCAGGTGACCTTAGCTATGAATACCTTCTCATTTGCTTGTGCTTATGTCATCCTTGGACTTCAGTTATTGTACACGCTACCTTTCCTACTTGGACTTTGGCATTTTTTGTCTTTCCTTTAGGATCTGCTGATCCTATTATTTTCTCAAGCCATGATTTTGCTTCTTCCATATGAACTTTTTACACAGCAGGCTCTTAATCTTCTACAATTTCTCTCTCCATCTGGGCTTAGCTTTGCCTTGGATCTTCTATCTCGATACTAGAAGGCTGTGATGACCTCTCAATGTCTGTTCTGTGGTGTTTTCTCTTCATTGTATAAACTTAAGGTAGTTGTCCTATATTCTGCTAATCATGGTGATATGAAGGTTCTGTTTTCTTTGGGATGCTGGTGGCACTCACTGCAGTTCACTCTGCTAATGCAAGATGACCTTCATCAGTAAGGAAATTCTGAGAATGAGACAAGGAGAGAGGTCTTAAACTCATTTTGGCTTTTGACTGTCAAGATAATAATTAATTTTTCCAAAGTCACCATAACAAACAAATCTCAAAAAAATAAAAAATAAAGTAATATTTTCTTTCCTCCTAGACTTACCAGAGTTAACCTGTTAGTGTCCATCTCACACTCTGAAACTACTATGTTTCTGTTTCACTTTTGAGATGAGAAATCCATTTCTACAAAAAACAGTTCAGATGGACTCAACTTTCTTGAGGTTATCGTAAATGATTATTTCGCTTTCAGTTTATTTTTCCTAAGACTAAAATGATCAAGTCCTTATAATTCAAGACAGATAATGACAATTTAGGAACTCACAAAAACTTGGACATGGATTGAGGTATACCGTAAAAACAAAAATTGTTTTTTGAGAGACTAGTTACTCTAACTGGGTAAAGAGATTGCCTTTATTATTGTTTTTCATCTGCATGTTGAGAAAAAGAATAAGGACAGAGAGTAAAACAGAGAAAAAGAAAGAGAGATAGAGAGTCAAAGAAGTAAGTGGATACAGAAGAAACTGTGTAGATTGGTTAAGAATAGGGTAGTAATCCACATCCAGTTTATGGATGCCAGTGTAAGTCATGCTTGAAAAATGGTTGAATAGATTAAAAGGTAGCCCTTCATGATCCCTTATTTTTTAATTTATTTAGTATTTATATGATATCAACTAGGTGCTAGGTTTTCTGCTAAGTACTAGGAATACAAAAATTAATGGTATTGTCTTTGACTTCAGAAAACTCATAGTTCAGTCGGAGAATTAGACATATTTTCTCTCTCTCTCTCTCTCTCTCTCTCTCTCTCACACACACACACACACACATACACAGTTCAAAAGTATACACATTTTAAGAGTTGTCATCTATGACAGTTTATAGTGGAATTATATTATGGTAGCAATATGTAGCATGACGTTATTAATTCAACCATGCTTCCGCCATTTTCTTTGACTGTCCTGCTTGTCGCATGGTGATGGTAGCATCCATTTGATTAATGCCATATCTTGAGTGACAATACACTTAAAATGTGTATTTTTTTTTGCATCCCCTTTGTGTGTGTGTGTGTGTGTGTGTGTGTGTGTGTGTGTGTGTGTGTGTGTGAGAGAGAGAGAGAGAGAGACTCCAAAAATCCTTATTTATAAAAAAGTGTGTATTTACTCTTACATATTTAAACTTCAATCATCTTCAGAGTATTCTTCATTTGATGCAATACACCTATCAAGACACTTTTTCCACTACTCAAAACAGTTTTTGAACTTGTCCATTTTGATGACTTTAGTGCTTCTGCCAGTTTTTGTTTTGCTTCTTCCATATCAGCAAAACAGTTCACTTTCTTGGGCATTTTTCATCCAGGGAAATGCAAAAAAAGTTACTCAGGGAGAGAGTGGGTTAATAGGGAGGGTGGGGCATGTGGGTCACACCATTTTTGGTCAAAAATTGGTGAACATTCAATGTGATGCGGGCAGATACACTTGTAAATCACCCAACATAAAATGGACAAAATGTGTTGAAAAAAAAATCTCAAAAAAAAAAAAAATTTCACTGAAGCAAATGCAACCTCTCACAACAGCACTAGCTGATACACTGATGTTGGTGTTGATGGGTTCCTAGAACTCTTACCTAGCATGGGAAGCCTTACTATAAAGGGCCTGGCCTCCAAAAAATAATTCTGGTTTTATTTGGGTCCCCCCTTTTATATATTTTATATATATATTAAAAAATATATATTATAAATAAGCATTGAGATAAACATACATATGTGATATATTAAGGGGTCATTCAGTTAATAAGACATATAGGATCTCTGAACTCCCAGAGCTTTTAATCCTGAATTGAAATTTTAAAGATGAGTTAAGTCATTACTCAGCACTATGATAGGAGAAGGCCTGGGTATTGTAGGAACATAGGAGGGATTCTAATCCTAAATTGTAGAGCTGGAGAAGCATTAAGAATCAACCAGAACAAAAAGGATCACAGAGGATGAAGAAACTAAAGCTGGCTTAAGGAAGAAGAGATACTCAGAGAAGCTTCTCAAAAGACATAATCTTTGGGCTTTGTCTCCTGGTTAAATCAAGAGGCAGATAGGTAATTTATAATATCAAGATTGGGGAGAAAGCAACCACTCAGTATTGCTCAAGTCTCCTCCACTAGTAGCATCTCTGTAACCACAAGGGACTAGACCATTCCTCTTACCATTGGATGAAAGATGGGACAGTGTTGCTCAGAACGTCTCACTCAATGGTCATCCCTAAAAGCCCCTTAAAGTGACACTGGGGGAGGGAAAACGAGTCTAACATCCACTCTGAACACATAGGAGATTGCTTTTTGTACACTTTGATCTGAAAGACACACACACCCCTTCCCATAGAGTACACCCGCACTACTCAATTTATCTGTGTCAGAAACTCCAAGGGCTGAGTTGATTGTTCTGTAAATTGAACCTCAGGTTCCATTCTGAGTTCTTGAAACGTGACACGCCATCCACTAAGCCCTCCTGCTTGGGTTCGTTTTCGATTCTATTATGTTGAAATATGTCTTGCTGCCCTGGGTGCTGGCTCTGCTTGGGCCCAGAAATGCAGTTTTGATCAAATCTCATAATAATATGGGGAGATGTTGAAGATTAATGCCTATTGGTAATCCAAACTGCCAGAAAATGAGACACAGAGGAGAATGTAATAACCTGAAAAATGGTTGCAAAAGAATGTAGCTTTATTTTCAGCTGTTTTTCCATGTACTTGTTTCCAACCTAGGGTGAGTTTTGACGAGGGCCACTCTTGGGACAAGTATGGTTTCACATCAGTTCCTCTCTTTGTGGATGGGGCTTTGGTGGAGGCAGGAGTGGAGACCCACATCATGACGTGAGTACTTCTTTTGCTGTGATAGGTAGGAGACCAGAGACCTTGGTTCTACTTCCACTGAGGCCTTAGACTTTTCCCAGGGTGTCCTATCCCCAAGTGTTTTAATCTCTGAGCCAGAGTTTCCTCATCTATAAAATGGAAATATTTATACTTGCACCTACCAACTCAAAAAACTACTGCTAATATTAGGAAGTCTAGGGTTTTAATTGAACAGTCAAGGTTTCTAATGGAATTTGAAGAATTACAGCAAATTCTCATTTATCTAAAATCCCAAGAAAACAGAAAGCTTAAGTCTTTAGATGTGTTTTTTTTCTCCTTTCAAAACAGTCTGATAAGAAGCAAAGGCCAGGGATGTAGGAAGAAAAATAGCCAACATACTGATATCAGGAAATATTTTAAGAAAATCTCTTAAATTCTGTATCACATACACACACACACACACACACACACACACACACACACACACAGTTGTTCCACTTCAGATTAATTAGCTATAAAATTTTTTCTCCATTATTTTATAATGGGAATAGTTGACTAGGATACAGATCTTAAAGCTGTTAAAAAAAACCTCTGAAGTACATTCTGAATATTAAGGAAAAATAATAACTGTATACTATTGTCTAAAAGTATTTTGAATTTTATTTCCTTAGAAGTTGATCACCTGTGTTTATGTTTGCACATGTGCATGTATGGGGGAGTGGGTAATGGAAATCTTCTACTAGCCAGTACTGGCTTCCACCTCCCCTATCCTCATTGAGTGGAGTACCTTACATCATAACTCTTCTCTGGACTGAGTGGAGTCTTGCTGGGAAAAATTAAGGGGTATGTGCTGTATTGTATAGTTGGCACAGAAGGACTCACAGTATATTTGTGCTAATTTGGGGGAGAGGTGTGGACTTTCTACTCTAAAGAACACTGTTCTTCTTTCAACTTTTGTGCTCATAGACTTCTTTATTGTTTGAATCAGTCATTTTCAAATACAATTTGGTGATAAATGACTATGACTTACTTTTCTCAGAGTGATCAGTTATAGAAAATCCTTTTATAATTGCAGCTATACCGTTTTGATTAAACCTCATAGTCTGGCCCCAGACTCCATCCCTTTGACATGCCCTACCCCTCCACTTCCATCCTCGCGTTCAGAGTTGACTGGCCACTACTATATACTTTCAGAATGACAGAAAGAAAAAAAAACTGCCATGGTGAAAAATGGTAATGGTACAGAAATTGCTGAAGAAAGAAACAAGACAAATGGACTAATCCCAGATCCCAAGGTTAGGGTATTAGAACCTGAGTTAGGATTCCACACAATCCTACAGCTGTGGAATACCTGTCTAGTAACTAGTATCCTAAACTTTCATTTCTTCATTTATAAAACTGAATCTCCTTTTTCTATGTCTTTCTAAAGTGCTGAAATGCTAAAATTCTTTCCCTTTTTAGGAAATTGAGCGAAAACATTGCCAGGGAGGACTTCTTAGGGTCCCACATCTAGAGGATTTGTATAGGGCCTTAAGAAAGAGTCTACAGGATTTTCAGGGTCCTTACTATTAAACAATATTCATAATAGAAAATTTGGGAGATGCCGCAAGACAAGTGCTGTAAAGAGTGTTTTTAAATTATTTTCTTTAATTCCTTGTGAATTTTCCGATTAGTAAATGAACTCTTCCTTCTAACTCCAAGGGTGGTGGGCTATGTCTTTTAAAAACTTGATGCTCATTTTTGAGCATCTACTATGTGTTAGGCATTGGGCTAGATCCCAACACCCTGTGGTTAGAAGTTAAAAGGCAAGATGTAAAACTCTATGAGGAATTCCTACAGTCCACCCAAAGAGCTTATCACATTGATAACTGATGTGAACTTGTGTTGCAGTATGACTTTTCTGGGCAATTCTGTTATAAAAATGTAAGCAAGGATTTCTTATATAGTGTTGTTCAGGAAGTAAGGCTGTGATATGATTTTTGTCTGTAATTTTTCTCCCCTCCTAAAATATACCCCATATAGAATTATCTTACCATCTGAATTTCTAGTTAAAGCTTATTTGATAACAGTATAGGCTCTATTGTTATACTGTCAAGTCAATTCATTAATTAAGGGTTAACAGTATTTCAGACAAGTTTACCTACAAACCATAGACAATATTTAAGATACAAGACAAGCTGGGCTCGGTGGCTCAGCCTGTAATCCCGCGTCTTTGGGAGGCTGAGGTGAGTGGATTGCCTGAGCCCGCGGGTTCGAGAATTATTAATGCTTAGAGTCTAAAATTTCAGCATCTAGTTGATGCCCAGCAACAATATGTTGCATTAGTACAAGTCTTAGATATTCAAAGGCAATATTATAATTAAATTTTATTTACAAAAGATAAATGATTTGGTAAGTATGTGTGTATATATTGTTGAGTGTATATATATATATATATATATATATATGCAAGTGCATGTATGTATAGATACATATGCACATATACATACATATGTCTATGCATATGTGTGTGTGTGTGTATATATATATATATATATAGAGAGAGAGAGAGAGAGAGAGAGAGAGAGAGAGACATTGAGGAAGAAACTCCTAGGATCTAGGGTTCTGACAAGACTTTTACAAAGTTATAACAACAACAAAAAAATGTTGGTGGCATCTACTATGTGTCAGATACTGTTTCAGAAGAATAAATCAGAAAAAACTTGCTTCTCTCTATGGAGTTTACATGCTATTACATTAAATAATATGGCATACAAATGACTATGCCATATAACCAAAACTACTCCTCCAAGAGATTTAAAATTTTCTTATGAACTCCAGAAAATGAGTGGGATATCAGAAATACCACTATCTTTTTCATGAGGCTCTCTGGCCATGAGCTGATTTTGCAAATATTTTCCATTCTTTACTTAATAACTAGCTATAAAAAGGAAAATTTTCTACTTTTCTAAGACATTCTCTGATGGGATCACCAATGAGGTTAAGTATTGAGTTCTAAATTCTGCAAGACAAAGGTACGCATATTCGAGATGATTATGCAATCTACTCCCTGGTTAAATTCAAGCCAAATGCAGTGTCTCATCTCATCCAAATCTGACATGAACCTGGAATCTTGGGCCATGGTCCTAAAGTCAGTCATCTTCAGTTTTTCTACTAAAGAGATATACTAGTCCTTTTTAAAACATTTTGCTTTCCCCTCTTTTCATAACCCGATGTATCCTGCATTCTCTTGTACAAAGCCTATCTGAATTCATTGCATCTTCTTTTGGGCGTTACTTTGAATAATACCATGTGCATGCTAATCTCTACATGAGCTAGTATTCCCTAGCAAGTTTAAGGCCACAGTTTAAATTCTATGTTCATCTAATATTAAATAGCAATATTTTTTTTTCTTAACTTCGGATGGAATTTAGCAGGTCACAAGGATATGAGGGAGAGTGACCGTGGGGCCAAACCATTTACTGAAAAGACAAGATAGCACTTCTCCCTTCCTTTCCTCCTGGCTAAGACTGCACAAGAGCTTGGCAGAACTTCTGTGCCTCTTCTATCTTGTGTATTGAGATAATTTAAAGAGTAAAACCTAATTATTTTCTTACAGGAGAGCTGTGGAGAGCAGAAGTGTTTCGTTTTTTATGAAATTAAAGTGGTTCTTGGAATAGGTTACCTGTTTTAACTTCTCGTTAAATTCAGAATTTCTCTTGTATGAAAACAACACAAGTTTTGTTAGCACTCTCCAGATAGGCAAGCATTAGGTTACCAAGAGGTAAGTTCTGTCTTTATTCCAAATTTGAAAAAGGGTCTTAAATCCAAGTGTCCTACTAGAGCTAACTAGTTCACCTGTGTTTTTCCCTTGTGGAATGGCCATGGGAAGAATTGAAGTAGGAGGTAAAAAAAAAAAAAGTATATATTCCTTAGGAACTGCAAGGACAGGGGTCCATTCGGGGACAAGAATGCTTAACCTTACCAGTGAACTGAACTTATTAATGAGGTAGACCATTTGAATTCTGTACCCTTCTGGTCACTCCCTGTATATTTCCAGTTAACTCTGCTGTGGTGAGTGAGAAAGAAGAGCCACACTAAAGTTCTATTGCTTTATCTTGTCACCTTGATTTGAAGAATTTATGTATTTAACAGTTAAAGAACTTCCAATATGTATCAGACCCTGTTATACCTTAGGAAACATTAAAAAGGTAAATACAATTCTTTCCCTTTAAGGAGCTCTGAAGCCAAAGTGGTGGGAGTAAGTGGGGATACACTAATCATTGAGATTCTCTACTTAGAAAACCAGAGGACAGCAGAGGGAAATGAAGACTTCACACACATAGTAGGTGACACTTGAGTTGGTCTGAAAGTTTTCAGAGCAGTTCACCAGTACAATGGGCAATGAAATTAAAAGTTTTAAGAAAACAAAGGTTTTTAACAGTTTTATTTTCACCAACATCAACTTAGTGCCTAAAAGGGGGGCTAGCACATAGTAGGAAGCCAGTAATTATTTTTTGAATGAATGAATAAATTCATGGCAAAGGAAAGAACACAAAAAAGGCAAGACCTGTGAAAGAATACGGCTAAATGTTAAGGGAATGAGACTGGGATGGGTTCTAGGTCATATTTACACATTTGACTGTAATCAGAGAGAGGTTTTTGAAATTAAAAATCTGAGCAAATCACCCCTTTTCTCAAAATCCATGGAGGGCTTTCTGTTACCTTTAGGATACAGTCTAAACTCAGTGTTAAATATATATGCAGTATCTCTACTGATCACTTGTCTGGGACCTTGTCTCTGACCTCAATAATCTGACCACCCTTTTCTGACACATTGGCACCTTCCTGGCCCAGGGTCTTTGTCTTTGTTTCTGCCTGGAATGTGTTTACTGTCACCACTTGAACAACTAAACTTCTAAGTATCTTTCAGGTCTCAGTATAAGTGTCATTCTTATACCGATATTCTTTTAGGCTAGCAGATCAGATGGGGTCCCAGCTATATATTACCATGGCCCTATATATATTTTTCTTCACAGTAC